TCTAAATAGTTGAAACTATTTTCCTCTATTATCTATGAATGTGAGAACTGACAATGTACTATGCCATGTATGTTGAAGTGAACTTTCTTCCTCTAACTGTTAACTTGGTTGTTGGTAAATGGAAAGAATTACTTACAGAACAGTCTCATGAAAATGAGGGTACAGGCATCCCTAGGGTATACTCCAAGGAAATGGCTCTCTGAGGCTGTGTATAGAGTTATGTGAGCAGCCTGTGCTTCTTGAGTCTTCACAACAAGAGAGGACACGCAGAGAGCCTAGAGCAGTGTTTGTGGCAAGGTAAGTACAGGAGTATTTACAGCAATTCAGCAGCAGTTTTCTTTTATAATGACTCAAAAAACTTCATTCCATAACATGGGCCAATGTTAAGTGACTTGGTCACATTCACACAGCTAGTAAATGGAAAAGCTAGGTTTCAAAGCCAGTGTGTGGTCTTTCCATACTCTGCTTCAAATGAGCAAGAAGGCACATTCAGAGTTTAAAGAAGATAATTCAATACAAATCAAGTTTCTTAGGACTTAGATTTATTTTGGGAGATATTCTTATGTCTTTCATGTTTCTGGGTCTCTTAATGGATATGCTAAAGATGGGAGGCCCGGGGCACTCTATTAAGACCATTTCTAAGGTGTGGCTTGCAACAAGTCCTGAGTCATGGGATCACATCTCCATCTGGGATGAAAGTGAGGCTTATGGCCCTCCCTTGTGGCGCAGCAGGTTAAAGCACAGCACTAAGAAGCTAAAGCCACTTCAGCACGAATTGGGTACCCGCCCTCCCTGGAGGTGACCCACATGGAGCAGCAGACCTCTCCTGACCCGCCCGTTGCTCCCCTCAGCAGTGTACTTGGTCGATCTGCCTGTTCTGCTCCCCACTCTGTCTCTGGTGAAGCCTCTCACCGCCCCTGAGCCTCTGGCCTGTACCCCAGTTCTGTATGTATAAATAAATAAATCTTTATATATATATATATATATATATAAAAGTGAGGCTTGCTTCCTCTTATGTTGAAGAGTGGATTCCTTCAGCTAGCCTTCTCCCCTAACATAACCCACTGTTGGGGCAGTCATCTGTTTGGGGCCTCATCACCTGTGGGGCTTGGGAGTAAGATGATTAATGTAAACATGACGCTTCACTGTTTGCTGTGTTTGTTTCTCATCTCGCCGCAGATCGTGTGTCTTCTGCCATCATCCAGGGAGCAAATAGGCTGGCTAACACATTGTAACAAGATAAAATTAAATCCCAGGCCCAAACGTTTGCATTTCATCAGCGGTTCCCCTTCGCTACTAATATCTCCCCTGCAGACCCCAGCGGGAAGTGTATGCTCCCCTTGGATCTGTCTTCCCCAGAGTCGCATAAGTTTGTAAATAATTTCCGCCGGCGCGGCGCTTCCCACCAACTCCCTCCAGGTGGGGACACGTGCCCCAGGGGCTGTTGAAAACACCAACGGTCCCTTTTGTCCAGTAAACGCCTGCAAGGGCGGTTGGAACTGGGGCGGGAGCCTAGGGCGCTGGCGCGGGAGAGGTGGGCGCGAACCCAGGCGCGCTGGCCGGGAGAAGTGCGGACGCCGGACGGCGCGGGGGACGCGCGGGAACCCGAAGCTGGGACCTGGGGACAAACTCGAGCCCGGCGGGAGAAGCCGCGCCTTAAGGGGCAAGCAAACAGACGGTTGGAGTTGGGTATCGGGAGCTAGCTGTGCGTTTTGCATTTTTGGAAAAGCAATTGAATACAGTGACGTAGAAAAAGCAAGTTGCAAAGCGATTAAGTCTAAGATCCCATTTCTGTAGGAAGATTCTCAGCGACAAACTATCCATAAGTACACACGTATGTATGGATGTAAATGCATTGAAAAGGGTCTAAGGAGACTTTTGTGTTGGGATAACGGATGAAGGGGACTGCCTTTGGACATAGTATATTTCTGAGATATTTAACATTCTTATAGGACAAAATCTATATAATTCAAAGAAGCCTGCTCTTGGGCAGCGTGGCTATCACTTTTTTCCCTTCGCTAGGTACTTGCTTAGACACTCCTCACTGTTCCTCTTACAACCTAACTGCAAGACAGGAGAGTCATGAAAAGTTATTTCGCATTAGTCCTTCTGTCCTTCCTCACTTCCGTCTCCTCTTCTTAGGGATCTTTCCTACTGGCATTTGCGGAGAAGTCTTCCTCATGGCCCTGCTCAAATCTATCTACAAAACACACTCTCAAAGACAAAACCCTGAAGATTAGTAAATTAGGCACAAACGCTGCAAAATTTGAATTAGACATTATTTCTAAAACATAGCTGATAAAAATCAAGATAAAATATTTACAGGGTGTTTATTTTCTCCTAGGAAGAGGCTCCATAGTGTTTCTATCAGTATAGCCACAGGTTGTTAAATATTTTTCAAGGTTAGATTTTGATTTTGAAATGATTTATACAAAATCATTAGAATGATACAAAGAATTTCATCTCTTTCACACCCACCTTCCACAAATATTAGAGCTGTCTGAAGCCAAATGTTAGCTAATCTAACCACCGCATAACCAGTGATCATAACCAGGAAATTAACATCACTACTATTCTATTAACTAATCTGAAGATATCATTAAAATTTCCACAATTATCTTTTTTTTTGATCTAGATTTCAATCCAAGATCTCACAATACACTTGTCAAAACTACTCAGTTTCTTTTGATCAGTGACAGTTTCTTGTTTTTTCTTTAATGACTGACATCTTTGAAGAATACTGTGGGACAAAATTTGTTAAATGTCTTTTCTCATTATTAAATCCAGGTTATGCATTTTTGACAAAAATACCACAAAAAGTGAGTGATGTGCCCTTCTCATGGCAGGAGGTGCAATATGTCAATGTGTCATTAATGGTGACACTAGCTGATCAGGTTAGGGTGGTTTTTTCAAAGAAAAGTTATGATTTTCTTTTGCTTTTGATTAAGGGAGAGAGGCAAATAGCCCAATGGCACACTCAGCATTCTTTGCATCCCAGTTGCAACAGTTAGTGCTGTGGTGTTTGCTCAAATGTGATTTTTCTGGCTTTTATCATCTGAGGATGTGTTCTAATCTAAATATTTAATATTTTTAAAGAGATATTTTTCTACTTTACAGCAGAGGAAAAGGCATTTGGAGTTTCTGTAAAATGCTGGGGAATTAGTAACTTTTATGAATTACAAGTGTATTTACATAGTCGCATTCTAAAAAGAATAAATCACTGTCCTAGTATTCCTAAGAACCTGAACCCTAAAATCCCAGTTTACATGAGTTTATGAGCTCATTAACTGAATTGGTTTTATTACTCTCATATTTGTGTCTGTTATAACCATAAATGTAAAATGGTATTTAAAAATAGAACACAGATAAAGTTAATACTTGCAATGCATTGCTAATTTTAGTTGGTATTTGTAAGAATGATCATTTAAGTTAACAATACAGCAGACTCATCCAATGATATTTCACTTTATTTGCAGTGCTTGCTGAAAGGATTTACTGGAATGAGTACTGCATTGAACACATTACAGAGAAGGTAGAATTTTTGTGGGTGAGATTTAGAGATCTTTTAATCCAAGTGTTATTATTTGACTATGGAGGATTTTGATAAATCTCATTTGATAAGTTGCACTGTGCAACATTTCTCCTAACTCCTATGATTAGAGCTGGAAAACTGGTCTAAGGTTAGCCCTAGTCTTATTATTATTGTTTTGCTTTTAATATTAAGGAGAGCAGGTTTTTAGCTCTTCAAAAAATTTTAAATCACTGCCTCTTTGGAGTACCTGACCCCTATGAAACATTTCCCCAGAAAAAATGGGCAAACCCACAGATTGCGCACATTAGAGCAAAAGCAATCCAATGTGAAATGGGGGCTAGGGTGAGAGGTAAGGGGGGAGGAGAAGTCTGCTGCCCAGCTCTAGCTCTCGGAGGTTTCCCAGTTCCCCTCCTGCCATCTGGTATAGTTCACCTCTTGGCAGCACGGTGGGCAGCTGAGGCCACACAGCTCAATGGCTCTGTCATTTCTCTCCAGCTTCCTCCCTCAATCCGCAATATCATTCTCTTTATTACTTGGCCTGTGGTCTGCCAAGTTTTCTTACTGCTTGTTATCATGTCCTCCCTAGCACTGGCTCTTTCACCTTTCTCACCAACGTCCTGTTGGGAAGAGAGCTCAGAAGCTCCAGTGAGAGAACCTGACCATTCCCAAATGGCTAGAGCAGAGAAGACTTTTTGGAATAAAAACGTCATTGCCCCCTTTCTCATTAACGTAGCTTTGCTACGTTTGCCTGCCTGTTTGACGATGGAACAAGAAACGAACACGTTGGGGCAACTCACTCAGAGCCAGTAGCTTACACACAGGAGCCAGTAACCATCACTAACAATGGTGAGATTGTCTGAAGGTTACTGCACAGCTCCGACCCCTGGAATGCAGAATGGGGTTGGAGAAAAAGAAGTAGGCACAGAGGAAAAGGGATCAGGACTCGTTATTATGAAGCCCTTTTTGTCTTTGAGAACAGGAAAGAACGTTAACTCCAGAAACCCGCTTCTTCGCCCGCCAACCCCGGGCTTCCAGCTTGTGTGGCCTGCCTGGGGCGCCAGGCTGAGCTCAGGCCCGCCAAGGCTCGCGGCAAACCTTGGCGCTCCAAGACCCGCCTCGGCGACTAAAGGCCGCGGGCGTCTGGGCGCCAGCGCCAGAGTGGGGGGGCAGAGGCGGGGCGGCGGCTAGGCACGGGGAATCCCTCCAGCCTACAGCGTCTTGGGAGGACCAGCCAATGAGAAGCCCCGGAGGGGAATTCCCGCTCTGACTGCCGCCCCCCGGCTTTTAAATCTGTACCCTGGGGAACGCTGTCCAGGACCTATGGGAGAAGTGGGGAAGCGTGGGCTGGGGGTGAAAATACAATGATCCTGGGGGACGAGACTCTAGAGATTTGGAGGTAGGCGTCCAAGCTGGATTAGATCTGGGGAAAATCCAGAGGACAAACTCCTGGTAGGACCAAGTTCTCGGGATGGAGTGGAAACTGGAGCGCGCAGCCCCGCGCAGGATCCGGACCGAAGAGGAGATGCTGTGGGTGAGTCACATCCTCGTTCCAGCTCCCCGAAGGACCGTCTGTAACCCTTGTTTAGGACCAAGTCGCAGAACAAAACTGTGAACCCTGATCTGTATTTTGAGTTCAGCATTTAATTATAGCCTGGAGGTGTTTGGTTGCTTAAAAAGAGAGAGAAAAGAGCGACAGCCTCTGACAGGCTGAGGACCAAGAAACTTTCCACACCGAACATGACTTTCCCAAGTTTATCTCTTTGTTTTATCTGTATTTTCAAAGGAGAATGTCATGCGGGTGCTCGCCAAAGATATGAAGAAGAAAAGTCAAGTTTCTCCCAAGGTGAGTGTCTACTGTTTGCTCTAGTTCTCTTAATTCTGATCTTGAACAAAGTAATTCTTGCTAAAGAAGTCATCTGTTGGAAGTATGGGCCGGTTTAAAAATAAGAAAAATTTAAAGTCTCTTACCAGTAACTACAGAATAAATGATATGCTAAAAATTATTCTGCAAGGAACTGAAAGTTCTTGACAAATACTGGTAGTCGTTTGTTTCTGAATGGTGCTTTCTAGTTTTTGCCTCAACAGGAAAGGATGACTTATGGATGTGTCAGGTAGACCGCGCATTACTCGCTGACAGTTAATAAAATTGACAGCTCCACGCCCTCTGTTACATACGAAAGGGAAATGGCGCCATCTTGTGGATAATGAGAAATGGCATATTTCTTGGCCGTTAATGCTTTTTCTTCTCCAAAGTCTGAATCCAAAGGCTATAAACTTTTCTTGTAATCAGTGTAAAAATAAAGAAAATCTAAATATTTTCTCATTTTCCCCAAATACACATCCCTCATAAACTTTAATCTCGCACTGTCACCATCCACCTCCCTTCTCTCTCTATGCTTAGTTTCTACTCCTTTAACTTCAAAGATTCAAATCCATCACCGTTTTAAAAGATTTTTCTATATCTTCAAAATTTTCTATATTTAAGTGGCGGTGGAGTAGATTGAATACAGAATAAAATGGTTGAAGTCTTTTATAGTGGGCAAAAATTAATGACATTTAAGCCCCTAAATTTCCTAAAAATGTTTTCTCCCTTTATCTGCAGCTCTGTCTTATGCCCAGCTTATGTATTACTATGAGTTCTAGCTATTTTACTGCTATCTACTGATACGTGACTTTCTTTGGCCAGCAAATAGTAATTGAAATAGAAGTAAGTAATAAGAAAAAAATATGTACAACCTTGCTAATTCATTGGTACTATAATAACATTTTTATATTTAAGTCATTTTTCAGAAAATTCAAGTGTAAGTATTCTGAAGGTTTTAAAAATTTTTGACTGTTAAAATGCTGGTTTTATTTTTTATAGTCTTTAGTCTTGGAGACTTCATGGGCCTTGAAAAGCAGCAGTGACCTGAGTCATGTAGGCAGTGTATTGTTAGCTGGCTGCTTTGGGTTAATTCTGCAGCCACGACTACCCTGCCATTTGATTCTGGATCTATTCTTCTTGATAGTGAAGGGCACTGACGACCTGTGTGTGATGAGTTGGCAGTGTATTGTTAGCTGGTTGACTGTGGAGTGGCATCAGCTAACATGCAACTGCTATCTTATTGCATGTACAATGAACATCAGTGTCTATTTAAATCTGCAAGTAATTTATGTGTATTTGTACTTTTTGTTATGAACCAGAGCACCATTTATCACAATACTTATTGTTGCTATTCAGTTAATCAATTATAATGCAGTAGACAGCTTATGGCTTATAGTGGTTAAAAACTATTACAATTTTAAAAATTTCAAGCAATATTTTGGAGTCTTCAGTGCTTGTAGGCAGTATTATTTTTTTAAAGACTTATTTATTTATACAGAACTGGGGTACAGGCCAGAGGCTCAGGGGCGATGAGAGGATTCAACGGAGCAGAATAGGTTGACTGATGAAGTACATTGCTGAGGGGGAGTAGTGGGCGGGTCAAGAGAGGTTTGCCCCACGATGTGGATCAAGTCTCCCCCATTGAACTAGTGCTGAAGTGGCTCAGGCTAGCTTCATAGTGCTGTGCTTTAACCCATTGCACCAGAATTTTTTAACATAAAACTTATGTACTATTTTTTAAATTTTATTTTATAGCAGTTTATTTTTACATCATGTTGTACTTTTTTTTTCCACCTCAGTTGTAATCCCCGCGGGTTTCCCATCACCATGTCACCAGTGTGCCATCACCATAATCCCGTGCACTTCCCTCCCCTCCCCCCCCCCGTTTTTTATCCCATTCCCCACTCCACCCCCACAAAATGTCTCCGGTATATGGCTGTTCATTATTCTTGTTATTTTCTCGCCTGGTCCATTATACTCCTGCTATGAGCGAAACCATCCGGTATCTTTCTTTCTCTTTCTGCCTTATCTCAGTAAGCATGATCTTTTCCAGCTTATATATACTTATTTTTTTAACTTAAAATTTGGAATATAATGACACTTTGGAGTGGAATGAAAAGCCTAAAATATTCCCCCAATTTTCAACCAGTCTTTTCTATCCTTTTTGGATGACCAGTTTGTTAATATGACATTCGAGTAGCACTCTCTAACCTTGTTTGTGTACCTACCAAAGAGAAGTCGAACTCATGCGGAAGTGACTTTAGCTTCTTAGTGCTGTGCTTTAGCCACTGTGCCACCAGGGAGGGCCCACAGAGAAATATTTTAAAATTATTTTATTGAGTTAACATTGGTTTCCAACATGGTCAGTGGTTTAGGGGAATAGATGTATGTTATATCCCACGCCCACCACCAAAGCACCCATAGACACTCATAAGATATGTGGTAGAAAGCATGAGATTTAGCTTGTGAGTTGGAAAGAATATGATTTTAAACAGTCTGATTTTATTTTCTTATTCTCTCAGAGGCCATTTTGACCGTGGAGCAGTGTCAGATGTGCTGGGCCCCAGCGTGCAGGGCACGGATGTGGGTGTTTGTAACAAGTCCTCTGAACTGACACTGCGGTCTGGTCACTTGTCACACCCCAAATGTGCCAGGAGGAATGTGTTACACTCTCTACTGAAAAGTTATTGTGAAATGATTCCTATGCTGACATTATATAAACCTTTTTAGAATAGTGGGTTAATAGATGCCTACTTAATTTAATTCCAGGCATTTTGCTTCTTTCAAATCTCATCTGCCTTTTGTCATTCCATTTCAGCACCTTTGTATTTAAGATTTCCAGGTAAATATTGTTTCCATTCGTTCTTAAGCCTAAATTTCAACGTTATCTTCTTCAGAAAGACACTTGTTGATAACAATAAAACGTACTAAATTTAGAAGCTTTGGCTTTTGTGTTTTAATTTTTTAAAACTAAAGTGACATAAAAGGCCAATATTAACACAATACGGGGTACCTATTCATAGCTGTTCTTCTGATCCATATAGAGAGACAGAGACAGAGAATGGTTGAAGTTCAAAAAGAAAATGTTCCCATAACAGTGGGATGGAAAGGTGATCTACCCTTGTGATGCTAAAGAAAGAGAAGAGGGGAAAGTTTGAAAAAGAGGAGGGGAGCTCTGTTGAGGGGGGTGTTTTCTTTGGGGGCAGTTACCATGTGTTCCCTGGTGCTGGAGGTGTAATGCTCCCCCTCCTTGCCCTCCGAAGGGCCTCTGATTCCTCACTGCTCTTTAGTCCTGCCCAGAAGAGAATGCTTCACTCAGCAAGGTGTGACCTGAAGAGTTCAGCTGGAAAAGGCAAAGAGGAGAGTGGGAAAGAGTGTGATGTTTTGGTTTCTAGGTATAATAGTTACTAGAATTTTATTATTCCATGGGTTAGAAGAAAGCCCATGATTAAATCTTGTCGGAGCATACTCTTATCAGTTCCACCTAAACATGTACTTTTTCTGTCAAAAGAAAACTATGAATCAAAATGGTATTTTGTGCAGGGATCAATCATTTTTTTGTTCACATGAGGGCATCTTTTGAAACAGTTAATATATTAAAGGAATAAATATAATTTCTTTCCTCCCTCCTTTCCCTTTCTTCCTCCCTAATTTCTTTCCTTCCTTTATTATTAGAGTATTTACCTACATAAGATTCTTTGGGACAATCATTTAGAACATTAGATTTTAGAGTGAGCACTCATACTTTCAGCAGCTTCTCATAATGTAGTAACTGCATATACTTTATTTCTTATAACCTGTCAACATATATTTATAACAAAAAAAAAAAGGGTACATGTGATAATGGTTTTGCCCTAGATTTTTCTCTTGGGAGATTCCTATGAAAAGCAATTTTTAAGAATTTTGGTGTATTGGAATGAGCTTGTCCTGGTTTATGAGAACTCATTGGTAAAATCTCACAAATTTGGTGTCAGTTACTCAATAAATGATAGATTGAAATTGGCATGTAAGTGCACCTACACCATGGAGACTGGCAAACAATACATAGTAAGATTTCCAAGAATTGGTTGTTAAGCATTTACTGGTCACCTATGTGTATACACTATATAGATTAGTTATTGAGAATTATATATTTGGACATATACACAGACTAAATAGTTATTAAACATTTCCAGAAACAAAGCACAAATCTCAGGGTAAATTCAGATTTACTCCATTCTCTAACATGACCGTTGCCTCTGCCATGAGAAGATGGCCCCAAGTTAGTATGAAGGGCTCCTCTCCACTTTCCAAAGAAATCAAAACTTCAGGTCATGATTTATTATTGACCATTTGATTTTGCTCCTTTGTCACAAGGACAGCAGTCAGAAATCCATTGATGTGATGGCTGCTTAACTTTTGTTGTACTCAGTTCAGGCAGCCAGTAGCTGTCTGTTCCAGACTTTTTGATGGCAAGATAGGGAAGATTATGCTGGATTCAAGAAAGATGCAATTTTTTCTCAGTTTGCCTGATGATTCATACGAGACATTGAGTTAGTTAGCAGCATGTCAGCAACAGCTCTGCTCCTTTCAGACTGTAGACCGACGGTTACAGAACCATGTGTGGGTATGGCTATGTATACTTTCAAATCCCCACTTGCCTTCCCGGCACATCCACGGGAAAGAGACTCAAGCACATTTTAGTGACCACTATACGTTGAATAATGTAACCATCCTCGGAGATATGTAAGTGAAACCCCATTTCGTATAGTTTGGGAGTGTCCGGGGCTTTGGGCAGATGGCCATCCAAAGCATGTCACCAGGACAGTCCTGATTGTCCCTCAGAACAGCACTCTGCTCTCCACCTGGCAGTGGGGTCTGTTTAGCCTGTGTAGGGCTGGTATGCACAAGTGTGTTCACACTCCAAAGGTGGGCTCATAAGAACACCCTGTCGTAAAGACATATCCTGTGGCCCTGGAATGAGTCATGGGAACCCCAAGAGGAAGTTACATGGCAAGAGCATAGCACCCCAGAAGCCACCCAGAGGGGTTACCCTGAACCAGAATTTTGCCCAAGGCTCAGCATTCAAATAGTTGATAAACTTCTAGGGCAAAATTGCTAAAGACAGATTCATTAGGTGGGCTCTTGAACAACCTCTGTGAGTCCTGACTCCTGACCACTTGAAACAGCATGCTTCATTGACTTTTAGAGATGGAAGGTTTGACTCCCCTCAATTTACAGAGGAGGAAATGGAAGAGTAAGCAAGGGACTGGCTGAGTTGTGCTGCTGGGGAGAGGCAGAAGCAGGTTTGCTGACACACTGACCTAGCTTTCCTGGTTAGTGTGTAAATCCTCTTGTCCCCCTGTACCCTTTCAGTAATATTACTAAATACATCTAGAGCTGGGTGGTTGGACATGAACTTGAACAGAAGATACTCCAGGAAACATTTTTGGTTACTCGACGAACTTTAAACAACGCAGAAACATATATTGGGGTGGCATTACTGATTTCACCATTAAAAAAATTTCACCAGATCAGAACTTGGGAGCCAAGTCACAGCTACTTATCTAGACTGGGTTGTTGTTCTCAGGCAAATTTTACAGACTGTATTTTCATATTTCCTCTCCCCAATCTTCCTATTTTATTACTTTATAAAGTGAATACATATTTTGTGGAGTGATAACTAACCATCACTAAATTGGGAGGTTGTTTTATTGGCCAATAACTATAAGACCAACACAAAATGATTGTAGGAGAGAAAAATATGACTGTGTCAGAGATTCAGTGATTGCATTTTAGTGTTTGTGCAATTGCAATCACTCCCATTTTTACATTTGACTATTTGTGGACAAAATTCATATTACTTTAGCCTTCAGAATGATGCAACATTGAATTCTTTCAAAATGGTTAGCCTAGTGTGAATATACTAGCAAGCAAAATTAAACTATAAGGTCTTTTACCTACACGTAGGATTTTCATTTAGAAATAAGACTGACTCAGTCACTAATATTCTATTTATGGAACTGGAATTGCTTCTGGAAAATAACTGAGAACTATTAAAAATGGAGATATTTCAAATATTATAATACCATTTACAAATGGCTATTTTGCCAGATGTAATAAAACATATGATAAATCTGTACTTAAAAAAATAAAAACAACAAAATCCTGTACAAGAAGCAACAAAAATATATAAAGACTTGATCAATAGTTCACTTTTCAATGTTTATTTTGTGTTTTATCACAACAAAATATCCATTTGCATTTAGTTGCTCCAGAAATTTCACTTACACACAAAGATGCTGAATCTAAACAGTTGTCAAGTGTGTTGGTATTTCCAGAAACACATTAAAAAAATGGCAAGTTAAACAAGAGGTTACTGAAACCCTTCAGGGATTGTGTATTCAGATTTCATGTGGTCAGATGAGGTTTTTTATGTATTTCATTTTTAAAAGATTTATTGATTTATGCATACAGAACTGGGGTATAGGCCAGAGTGCAGGAGCAGTGAGGAGATTCACCAGACGCAGAGTGGGGAGCAGAAATGGTAGATCAAATAATTACACTGCTGAGGGGAGCAGTGGGTGGGTCAGCTCCCTAGATGGGGATTGAACTTGCGCTGAGGTGGCTGCAGCAAGCTTCACAGTGCTGTACTTTAACCTGCTGTGTCACCAGGGAGGACCCCATGTATTTCATTTTGTTTTTGTGACTATCTTTTATCTCTGCTAACCCCATCTCTATCCTGGGGTCATCATTACACTAGTAGAAAGATAACAACAACAACAACAAAATCATCCTTTAATTGTCAGAATGTTTAAAATGGGGCCATACCTTCATGGAGACATTTCTCTATTCTGAAAAATAGAGGATTATAAAAATAGAGCCACATTAGAATGACTCAAGGACATTCTCATAGATCCTCTTTCTTTTTTATGATCATTTGTCTAACCAGAGCTGCTATCTCAGGCCTGATGACTTCAATGGACTCCTCTGGCCTCCAGGACTTCACAACTTGACCCTCAGGGTTGACCAAATACTTCCAAAAATTCCATCTTGGCTCCTTTTTTGAAGAATCTGAAATATAAGTATATATATTTTATGAGCAGAATGTTATTCTTTGTCAAGTTTTTTTATTTACTAGTATCTGCGTAAGTGACAACTTAAGAACCAGTTTTTATAATTGTTAAAATGTCAGAAACAAAAGCCAAAGAACAAAACATCCAAATAAATCAAAACTCAAGATTTAAGTAGCCAGCTCTCTATATCCTTGGTGACTTCATTGATGATTCTACTAGTCTGGAGTCATGAAATCTAGCAGTGGTTTATTTGAGATTTTTTGATTTAAACAAAATTTACCTTGTCACTAACAAAAAATGTTTGGTTTATTAGCATTTTTAGAGATAAAGTGCTGATCTGAAGAGCCTTGGTAGTAAGAATATGAATTTTCATATATATCTACATTTTTAATATTGCTACATATTACATAGCTGAAAATGGATTGAAAGAACTTCTAAATAATCTTAACTGAGAAATTATAGTATTATTTTGATACATGAGAAATGTAGATCCCCAGCCCTATTTATATTGCTAGGATTTATGTGCATGTTATTGAGTAACAGAAAAATATAATAGTTAAACTTGTCAAGTACCTACTATGTGTTTAGTAATGTATGCTCAGTGCTTACAATGGAATCTGTCACTTAATCTTTCCAGCAACCAGTATGAGGTGGATATTACTATTATCCCTATTTTGGAGATGAGAAAAATGGCAGCTGCTAGTGAGTGGTAGAATTTGGACCTATATCCTGACCTTCCTATGCCAGATCTCATGCTCATGTTCTTAATCTTTGGACTCTATCACCTTCACAGGGGAGACAGCACAACTAGATTATAGGAGCAAGATGACAAATTAATTTCTGTGCATGGGGGGCGGAGTTCAGGTGTGTGTGGAGCATCCAGTCAGAGGGGCAGCTGGATTTATGTATTGGGGCTTAGAGAGCTCACAGAGGGAATTGGGATAGAATAAGAAGAAACCATGCAGATGGTGGCAGAGTCCCGAGCGTCAGCAGAGTTAAGAGTAGTTGAAAAAGAGGATCCTGCAAAGGAGAAAGAGAAGGGCCAGTGTGGAAGTCCTGGTAGTGTTTCCTGCCAGGTGTAGGAGACACGGAGCAAGAAGCTAGATCCAGTGATGGAGGACAGAGACAGACACAGGAAGCAGAGAATCCAGTGAACTATTCTTTCAAAATCTGGGATGAAGTAGGCTGAAAGAACACACTGCCAAAGTTTTAAAATGTGGGGAATACTTTGCTTTATGCTGGGCAAAGTCCAATGAGGGAATATAGGTTACAGATAACAAAAAAGTAGCTTCACATTAATTATGCCAAACATTTAAATTTATTTCACTATGAGAAAGTTGTATGGCTGATTAGGTCAAACATAAATGACTTGGCATGAGCATCATATTATTACAAACAAGCCTTCTTAAAACCATTTTGAAAAATAGCTCTTTGAAAAAGCGCAAGACTCTGGCTCATGTAACATCTTTGTGTGGATTAGAAAAAGAGAAAAGCTTCCAGTGGGTTTGGGCCCTCAGTACATGCCCCTGGCCTGTGTGTCAGTCCCCACTCACCCAACGCTTAGTTTAGTCAACAACCTGTACACCTAGACAGAGAGCTCCTGTGCTGGCCACACACTCAACTACTGCCCACTTTGGCCTGTATTAAAAAGATTGAGTTTTTGTAATCTTTGTATTGGAAGCTTCATCTAATTCAGTAAAATCTTAAATCCCTGTTATCTTTTTGATTACACAAAGTAAGTGGAGTTTGGGAAGTCTTTGTAGTGACAAAGAGGAAGAATTTAAACATGACAGTGGCTAAGTATTTGGCTGCAAAAATTGAGGGCTGATTAGTTCAAGGCTATGTGTATGAGCTTTTCTCTCCTCAGGGTAGCCTAGAAATAAAAGAATAAATACCAGCAACTAGAGTTGCTGTTTATGGTATTGTGATTCTGTCTTCACTCTTAAATATCATAGGACATCATTAGCTGGTTTGTTGGGTTGGAAGTTTGATGCCCATGGAAGCCCCAGTTATATTAAACAGGGACTGAGGATATTAGCTATATAAGTGAGATGGGAAAACATTAACTCAACATCCTTTAGGACAGTGCTTGGCACACAGTGTTAGAGCATAAATATTTTTTATTAACATACTTAATTCTTCTACTGATAGCCTTATTTTTTAAATAAAGAAAACGCACAGAGAAGTTAAGTCACTGTGCCTGAATACATGCAGCAAAAGCAACAGAGCAGAGCTCTGAAATCAGCCTGCATGCTTAGAACTACCTCACTACCGTTATGCTAACTGATGTTGGAAAATATTTAGAATTTTGTAGCAAGTTTAAAAGTAAAAATAGTCTAATGCTGAGCTCCTCCCCAAAATCAAGTTATGCTTGGATTTTAGCATAAAATCTGGCCAATGAAGATATTATTCCCCCTTGAGGATAATATTGCCTGTAAGTATGGCCACATAAAATTAACCACAGAGATTTGTTTAATAATATTCAGCAATACTCATGAGCAATATGTAGTTTCAATAACAAGGAGGGGCATTTCTCCAAGTACTAGTTAAATGAGAAAAGAACTGAGATATTTTGTGAAAAAAATCATGACCGCACTTAAAGTCTTTAGGAAAGTGATCATAAGAAAAAATTCATTGTAGTAGATTTATTTTGCCATCCAAGAAATTAAGACACTGATTTCAGGAAAGCATAACTTTTAAAAGTTACAAAGGATGAGGTTCTGGCTTTTTGATAGTTTTATAAAAACTTCCCGCTAAAACATTTTGGTTTTCCATTAAAACATTTTAAATGACATAAAACATGGTTATGACATATGTGTTTTAAAACACCAAAACAACCAGAAACATTAAATTTGTGAGGCAAGGGAGATATTTACCAACAAGAAATCTAAAGGCAGGTTCTGCTTCAGATCCTAGAATCTTAATCTTGTGGAAGATGGGGAATGTTACTCCGAAGTTATTTCTTGCAAAAGATTCTACTTCCTTGCTTGGGCGGGGCTCCGAGTCTCCAAACTGATTGCATGGAAAAGCCAAGACGCTGAAGTGGAACGGTCCAAACTCTTTGTGCAGTTCCTGGAGTGCTAAGTAATTTCTGTCTGTGAGTTGGCAGTCACTAGCCACGTTTACAACTAGTGAAACCTCCCGGAAAAAGAAAAAAACCCAACCGGAAAGTGAAGTAAATAAAAGATGAAAAGAAATTCTGCAAGTAGTTAAAATCCTAAACCATTTGGGGGAAATACAACCCTTGATAGAGCTGATTATTTCATAGTTTCAGACATACCCAATTTTACTGAAAATTATAACCCTTGAGTTAAGACCCTGTAAGATCACTACATCCACAAAGCATCGAATACTCACAAACGTTTCTTTTTAAGTAAAAGATCATAAGATGATCACTGATAGAGTGCTCTTTAATGTTAGATCTTGAAGTTAGTACTTTTATTAATATGGATTCCCGCGTTCACATTACTAACGATAAGAAATTGCTGAACAAAGAATGAATATACTAGGCTTATTAAAACATTTCAAAGAAAATAATCAGAATTTATCAGTTAGATATATATTAACTGAGAACTCTTAAGGGTTAAAGTAGCATACTAATCTTCATTTGAACGATAAATTATAACATGATCATTTAACAGTAAAAGCTTGATTCTAGTAAGAAAATAAACAGAATATGGACAAACATTAAGCATAAAAATCAGAAGATGCAACTTACTCTGCCTTTGAACTTTTCCAGAGAAACCGGTCTTCCTTTTGCATCTTTCACTTCAAAGGCATAAAAGCTGTTGATTTTAGGTTTCAGGAATTTTAATTGTAAAAGAAATAACATTACTGTGCAGAGAACCATAGACAGCAAAACTGCAAATACCTTTGCTTTGGGCCCTGAACATCTTAAAGGGTGAGCTGTAAGAGGCTCCATTTTGGATGATTCTGGGGGCAGTCTCAGCAGGCTGGAATTTGAGGCGGAGCTGAAACTTGAAACTGGCTCAGTTTAACGGAAAACCAGGCAGGACTAACAGGCTCTTTTCACTGCTAAGGAATAGAAAACTCCTTAGGTGGGTAATAGAGTGAAGCTCGTGAATGAAGTAAGCTGCTCTAAAAATTCCAGCGTATTTATGATGTCAGCTGCAATTTTTT